AAAGAAAGAAAGAAAGAAAAGCCAATTGGACACTGTATCTGTGATGATGAGGAGAAGGAAGAGACAATCAGATTGCTCGCATCTCACAGTGTTGTATTCAGTGGGGGCCACTTACACAGTCAATAGTAATGGATAGCAGATGCTGTAAGAGAGAGACTTTGCCTTCTTTATCTGCTTACATGTAGTACATGGCAACAACAATAGCCCCGACTACTGCATTGAAAATCTATCCGAATTGCTCAATTCTCATCTTTTCTTTACAAATGGCAACTATTAGTCACCAAAGAAGCTGAAGCGGTTCCTCAGATAACAAAAGAGAGAAATGAAACGAGGGAAAAGACACAGATGATCATCAATACATGAGAGTGCAAGAAAAGAGTAAACACAGAGAAAGACAGGTTGAGCTGAGGAAAAAGAGGGGAGGAAAGGCAAAGGGGCATAGGGGGAAGTGAGAAAGTGCAGCAAAAAGCATTCAATAAACACGTCTCTATAGTAACCAAGATGTAATTTGCTTGGTGAGAAAAAGAGAAAGATGGAGATTCAGGGGGAGTGATGGAGAGAGGGGAATAGAAAAGCATTTACCATCACTGCTTGAGTCCAGAGCTGTAATTACGGAACTGAGACGCAGCGAGAGAGGGGGAGGAAAGGAGCAGAGGTACACACAAGGCAAGAGCCGCACACAATGTACTTTTACAAAAAGAAAAGGTGAGAACAAAAAATACACACAAGTAAAGTGATGACCCCATAAAATTGGCACTGTTGCAAATAAGTGTAGTAGGCGTGAGGAAGAAAGGCAGGGAATAAACGCAGCTCCAGAAAGTACAAAATGACAAAGATAAAGGAAAAGTTGTGAAAAGACAATTCTTTTGTAAGTGTGTGTGTGTGTGGGGGGGGCGCAATTTCATTTGTTCATGGAACCATCAAAGATTTTAAAAAAAACCACAATAATCCTGAAATATATTCAGATTAAGTGGGGATAAGTATTAATGTTGCAGGGGGCAGTGGAAAGATGTGCAGAGGTGCAGGAGGAGTAAAAGGTGATGTGTAATAGTGTATTAGTGAGAGAAGGGAGGAGTGACAGCGGAAGACAAGATATCTTATGGGAAAGCAGTAGTCTCGAATGATGAGTGATAGACAGGCCAAGATGTGCATGAAACATGCAGGCATAAGGCCAATCAAAATAGTAAGAGACCAAAAATAGCGGGATTACAGAGAAGACAGAGAATGGGGCCAGTCCCACTCTGTGTGTGACTGAAAGAGAGAGAGTGATATAAGGAGAGTGTGTTCACGCTGTGTGTGTGTTTAAGAAAAGCAAGTGTGTGTATGTGTATGGTAGGGTAGTTGATTACAGCTCTGGCGAGTGGCTTGGTGTCAGCCTGTATATGTGGAGATAACAGGATTAAGAGGCTACTGACACTACTGTACAAAAGAAATGGCGAGAGAAGAAGGAGTGATAGTGAGGAGAGGCGAAACAGCAGGAAAAAACGAAAACGGAAGGAAAAGGAAAAATGGAGATATAATCATTTATACAGATGGGTGACAAACCTGAATAAATGAGCCACCAAAAGCACATGCTTCCATATAGGGCACAAGTGGTCACTGAATGTTTTAATGTATGAATCATATTCTATGGCCTTCACAAGCACCAGATCCCAATGCACATTGATAATGGTAAAAACTAGTTCCCACCTGGAGCAATGACAGAAGTAATTTCTAGCTTTCAGTGTGTTACAGAAAACTGGAGAAAATCAATAGAGGCTTGGACTTCAAGTTGACATATTCATGAATCATCTTTAGCTTGACTAGAGTTAGTTTTAAAGATCCTGAAAACCTATTATCTAAATCTGCTTCTTAGTACAGTATGAGGTATGCAGTCTTACATAACATTTTTAAAAGTTTTGGTTATTTTACAAGTTTTTGTCTGGGCTTTACTCACGGGTGGGAGCTCAGATGTAATGTCACATGCTTGTGAGAGCCAGTCAGGGTTTAAGGGTTGATGCTTATGTTGCCAGGCCACTGTCAATCAAATCTGAACAAAAGGTACCCACACAGTCCTGATTAAGTGTGTTAGAGTGTTTTTGTGTTAAACTGATAAATAATACTGTTTTTTCTCCCCAAATTTGAACTTTAATTGTTGCATAATTAGTCAAAGAAAATCAATACAGGTTTTCATGTGGCTTGAAGCAGAAATTAGGTTCATAGGAATCCGTATTTACTAATTCTGGATGCAGGTTTAGACTATGAGATATGGGAAAATGTTTGCTGAAATAAACTGCCAGGAGATGGGGAAAAAACATATTTGACCAGTAATGAGAAGATCAATGAGAGGGAAGATTAGGACAGATGATGGATAGAGATTGAAGAAAAAAAAGAGGGAAAAGACTTTGGAAAGAGAGCTGATAATGATGAATAGCAGACACACGGGAGTTGAAACAAATATTAAAGAAGAGAGCAGTAAGAGATAGAGAGAGGGTTTCAGGGCGAAGACAAACTGCAAAGTTTTCAATTTCTGCCTGTTAAGTTAAAACGACCATTAGTACGTGCAAAATCCATCAGCTTTGCAATCAACATGGCTCTTAATTTAGTGCATCATAACTGTAGATTTCAATTGGTACTCCCATGGGGTAAATGAGACCACTTTTCTCTCCAATCTAATCTGAGTCAAGGGGGGAAACTGGTCAATTTATAGTCTGAGTCAGAAGAGTTAGCTGCAGGGCCACTGAATACTTAAACTGTTATGTTCTGCAGACAATTCCAAATTGAAAGTTAGAAAAAGGTTTTTTCAGACAAAAAGAGGGAGAGTAAAATGAATTTTCACAAAGTATTATTAACCTCTGGCACTCTTACAAAATTTGTAAGGAACTGTCTGGGCTTATAGATCAATCAAAGAGAGAGAAAGAGACCCCTGCAGAGTGAGTTACTCCTCTGTGGTCCGCTCCACGTTTGCTGAGGGAGCGCTAGCTCACTAGGGACAAATTAGCCACACAGGAGCACTGAGGCATCATGGGAAATTAATGATCAGGACCTCCAGGAAGTGAGCTAATGAGTCCTAGTGCCACACGCACATGTACACTAAGAACCACCACACACATACATACACACACACACACACTTTAGAGAATCAGATAATTAGAGAGGACCACCAGTGGCTTTCGCCCATGGAGGCGTAGTGATTACTGTCACTACACCCTCCCCTGGGGCGGCTGACAACAACCAGAGAATTAATACTTATCAACACACACACACAAACACAAACACAAACACACACACATACACAGCCAAGTGTAGCTGAACTAAATGTGGATCTTGTGGACGACTTGTGGTGTGGCTCCCCAGTGTTTGATTATCTTGTGTGTCGGGTACCTGAACGCCTCATTTTACCATGTAATGTTGCCCTACTTGGAGCTATACAGTAACTATAAGTTATAAGGAAGTTCGGGAGGGAATGAAGTAAGAAGTTTTGCTTGTTAAATTCTGTGAACCAGCTGCACCTCACTTCTGGAGGGGAAAACACCCAGCTGCTGCACAGGAGAGCTGCCCAAGGTCTGACAGGACTTAAATTGTGTGTTGGAGCCTATTGCATGACAAGCTCCAGATCCAGATCATCACATCAGGGGAGAGAAAAGAGGACAGAGGGTCCCAGGTCAGATCCTAAAAAAACTGGAACAGTGACAGACTGTGTCTCTACACCAGTCGGCGCAACTCACAAGGATTTAACTCTGCAGTACAGTTTCGTACATCACCACACCCTTGTCGGCTGATTGGCCAAAAGTTTCCCCGGCACCGCCCTCAGCTGAGCGGACCCGCCCTTCCATCGCTCTGCAGCCTGTTGCTGCCAAACCAGCTGGCAGTTTCAACTGATAGTCTGACACATTACAATATACTGGAAACTCTGACCTTTAAACCAGGTTTTTAGTCTTTGTTGTCTATTTTTTTAAGTATAAAGTCCAAAACCACCATGGACTTTCACTGTGGAAGATCACGCCTTCCACTCTGCAGCCTGTGATCTAAGGTTTTTTTTTTTTTTTTGGGAGCACCTTTAATCACTTTACCTTTCTGCATGATGCGAAACTGCAGCCATAGGTGACGCAAAAAGTTTTGAGTTTGTTGGTGGAAAGTTTGTTCCGGAGCTGCTCTGCCGGGGTCTCCTCACCTGATTTCTGCACGCCACTCCCAGCCAGTGGTGCAGAGCCTCATCGCGGGCCCCCCTTGCGGCGGTCGGGATGGGCTCCTTAGTGGGGACACCGGGAGCTCTGCCTGCCTGGAAAGCCACGATTTTCCTTTTTAACATAATCGCTGCTGCTGTGGCCAAAAGACACGTCGTGTACTGGAACTCAACAAACACAAGGTGAGGAAACACTTTTAAATAAAATAAAAAATGTCTCCCTTTTCCAGGGAGAAATGAGTTGGGTTCCTTCTCACTGCGGGTCAAACGGAGATTTAATGTAATAAGAGCTGATTTGCTTTCATTTCAGCCTACTTTGCATTGAACAAACTTTGCTGGTCTAAACTTGCACTAAAATGATATTGCACAACGACCACAATAATTCCTCCTAAATGAGTCAGGCTTTAGTTGGTTTAAAGAATCTCTGCTATGCGGCAGATCACGTCCTTATGTACTTTTAAGAAGAAGTAGAAACCTGCATCAACCCAAAAGCTATCAGACAAGTATTTTAGTCATGAAGCCTGAACTCTGGAGATAGAATGAAGTCCTGGGCTCATTGGAGTGGCCTGATCTCACCCTCTAGCCACTCTTTCTATTCTATCTTTATCACAATGACTACACTCTAACCCTGCTTTCACCTGTCCACTTGCCTCTTTGGGGTTTATGATTATGCTACTTACGGAAAGCCACAAGTAAGGGTTTCTTCTTCTTAAGTGTTTGTTCTGAATAGTGTCCTAGATAGCATTCTGAGGACACAGGTGTATATTAAAGTCTAAAGTGCTGCTGTGCACAGGCGAGTATAGTTAGGTAATGGGAAGGTGTGTGTGTGTTTGTGAGTGTGTGTAATGGGTTGATTGGGGCCATTAGCAAGGCAGAGTCAGGCTCACCTGCTGATCCAGGTGTTCCAGTCTGGCTAATTGAAGGGTTGAGGTGGAGGACCTGCAGGGCCAGTAGGGCTACTGCCCGAAATAACACATCCACCATTGTCTCACCCGCTTATTTAAAGACTCTCGCCATAAGACCCGATTCCCCAAACACTCTTTCAGATGAATGACCTTTTTTTTCTTAATAGCCGTTTGCCAGGGAGACCACTCTGTCAGTCACAGTTTTGTATTGTATTTTACATTTCTGGATGCGCAACACACAAAAAATGTAACAGAAATATGACTCCTGGGGCTGATCATTTTCCCAAGGGGCTCCTTTGTCAGGTCTGCAGGACTCATCCTGTACTAGAGTCAGGCGACGGTTCTATCCAGTGTGTCCAGGCGGGTAAAACCCAGTCCTGTAATTGGGATCCAACAGAAATGTGGTGGGGAGGAACACTGTGAGGATTAGGAAGCACCTTCTTGTTCCCCAGAGATTCAGGGATGAATGGTCACAGCCTGTGGCAGGACCACACAGTTGGCTGCAACACCACACAATCACAATGCCATCAGCAGCACGGCGGAGGGTAACCCACTGTGGCAGAGAATCACTCTCATCAGCAACACCACCCAATCACAAAGCTATCAGCGAAGCCGTGATGCTGCACCCGGTCCAGAATCCCCAGGGTTTACAGCTAGGACTCTTTCATTCCTCTCCTCTCCTCTCCCCTTTTTCCTCTCCTCTCCTCCCCTCTCCTCTCCTCACTCTTCATTACCTCCCCTGTTACATCCCGCTCTCCTTTTCATTTTTTTGTCTGCACTCCCCCCACCTCCTTCGCCCCCTTTATCTCTCACGACTCCCTCCTGCCCAGTGATGGATATTGGCGGTGTGATTAGTTGAGCTTGTCATTTTCCCATACCATATTTTCTATTAGCTGCCAGCCAGCCAGCCAGGTTGTCCTGAGGCCTGTAAATGTAGCCTGGCAAGGGAATAGGAGCACAGGGACAGCAGAGTGATGCTTTTGTTGGTGTGGTGCTGCACTGCAGGGTCCAGGACTCCACTCGATGCTCGTGGTAGAGAAGGCACTCTAGATCACAAAATAACCACATTTGGCTTTTTGTTTATTTGTCCACAATGTTGTAATAGTTGAATACACATAAGCTCAGGGCTCATTTCTTAAAGCTGCTAGAATCAGTATTTTGATATTAAAAAGGGATCAGATGACAGCGTGTAATGTGAAAGGGATTTCTCGTAGTGACGAACCCACAGAGATTTGGTGTTCCTACTTTTTTTAGCATCTTTCAGCTCATTGTTTTGGTTTAACAGTGAGAAATGTTTCTGTTTTGATTGAATTTCACTGATTTCATTAGTGTTTTATATAGCAAAATAGCTCTTAAAACCCCCCACTGTGGGCTACCTACACCAAACAGCAGTGGGACAAAGTTAGCATGTAGTTAGTGGCACATTTAGCAGCTAAAGACCCAAATATTTCCTTTAGGAGTTGGTTGAGGAAAAAAAATAGTGGACTTACATTCACCAGGTTATCAGAAACCCAACTTGCATGCTAAAGTTGCTCCGTGTCTGCTGGGTCTGTAAATAAACAGTTTGCTAACAACTTTAAAAGCTGATATGTCATGGTTGTGTTTCCAAAAAATCAATGAATGTAGGTTTAAATACCGTATCTTCAATTTATTGGAACATTGACAGAATGTTCAACCTTCGTAGTGAATGCTGGCGATGTTGGAAATGACTGTTGAATGTGGACCCGTTTTATTCTCGCCTTCATTTTTCCTGCTATCTCTGACACTGGAAAAACAGCTAAAGAGGGGCTAGCCGCCGTTACAGACATTACATGAAGGACTCAGCTCGTATATAACATAACTGTAGCTGGCGAGCAAACAGGCTCCTCTTAATACGGATGACAAAAGACATTCTCTGGCCATCACCTTTCCTTTCGACATCTAGATTTATGGTTTTAATGAAGCAGGGGCAGTCAAGTGGAGACTGAAGGGCCATGTTGCTCTGCTCTTCACTGGCTAATATGGCTGTAACAAAGGCTCAGTGAAACACTTTAACTGGCACGCATTTAGCACCCTCCAGATTGAAAAATGGAGCTCTGAAATGAAAGTGATAGACTGTCTGCAGGGTCAGCGTGGAACATCGTGGAATCAGATACCCTGGCCTCTTTCATTGTGGGGCTCAAGTGGTTCGATTGCCCTCTTTTATGATTTTATGAACAGGGTTTACGATCGTTCCCGATTTTATTACAGTGTTTCTCTCAAAGCGATAGTTCCTTATTAGAATTGAAATGATTTTTTACTTCCTGGAGCAGTTAGAGGTTAGTAAAATATAACCAGAGTGCTTTAAGCTTGAGTGTGTGTTTTGTGCGTGTGCTGACATTATACCTCAGCTCTCCCCAGAGTAGCAAGCTCAGACTAGTTTATTGGAATATTAAGCCCCCTCTTCTGTACCATGGTGCGCTTTAAAACCTGTTGGACCAAACAAGTTGACCATCCTATTTGCTGATACAACAGTGTTGGCTTCTTGTGCTACATTCATCCTCATAAATTCACTCAGGATGTGTCAGAAAGTTTACTCAGAGCACCAAAACTTCAAGGATCGAATTACCCCTTATTTTTTTCTTCAAGTAATGGCTTTTACCATCTATATGGACTACTCATACATCTGTAACAAGAATAAATGTCACCCAAACCTGAACCTTAAATAAGCTACTCAATTTCCTTGTCCTCTGACTTACCCTTGTTCTTGGCTCACACCTCCTACTAGTGCTTTTCCTCTTATCCGACATGGCAGGAGGCAAACTTGTTGCAACAGTTCCTCTGGATCACAGTTCAAACTTGAGACTCTTGTTTCCTGACTCCTCTTGTCTTTTCCTGACTGCAGAGCGGTGGATTAGCTGGGTGTTAATTGGAGATTTGACCACTCACATAGAGACACCGTGCACAATATTCTAACCAGTTTCTCCGACCTGTACTCTCTCTTGCTCACACTTGAACTCACACTGCAAGTTTGGACACAGACCTTTTAAAAGAATTTAAAACAACACCAAACCAGTCCAGGCCCCTCTGAACTCTCTCTCTCCCCCTCGCTCTCTTCCTGTCTGTGTGTCTCTCCCCTCTTCTAACAAAGGCTTAGGGCTCCAAGCCAGTGAAGCATGTTTAAACGGTGTGTGAGGAGATGAATATTTGTATTGGTTTTCTGTATCTTTATTGAAAGCACCCCTCATAAGTCTTCCGTGTAATCTCTGCTCTGTTTATGCATCATTTCCCTCTGTGTGCACTCATGAATGATCTAGTTTAAATACCAAAGTAAATCACATTCTGCATACCATACCTTCACACACACACACACACACACTCTCTCACTCACACACACACACACACACACACACACACACATCTGATCTGTGCAGACATGTATGCAATATACAGTAAAGTAAAAGCAGACACATTTTGTAATTGTGTCTTGTCAGGGGAGATGATTGCACTTTAAGACTGATTTCTTTTTTTATTTATTTTTTATTACTACTTCACCAGCAGGCCTGTGTCTATTCCTCCTCTGTTGTTTGCTTGTGTGTGTGTGTGTGTGTGCAAGTGTGCATGCAAATGAATATATTTCTCACACTGTCTGCTATCTCTCCTCTCTCTGTCTGTCTCTGTCTCTCTCTCTCTTTCTCTCTCCCTCTCTCACCCCAACTGGTCAAGGCAGACGACCACCCACCTAGAGCCTTTAACAGGCAGTTCTTCCTTGCCCCTGTCGCCAAAAGCTTGCTCTTGGTGGTACTGTTGG